GATTTGGAGTCGACTTTGATGATCCTATGGAGGAAATTAAGAAAATTAGGCAAACCGGTACTGTCAAGGAGTATCAAGCTATTTTTTTAAAGAAATCTCACAAAAGTTAATCTATCACAAGAGAATGCCATCAGTTGTTTTCTTGGTGGACTGAAACATGAGTTGAATATTGCTGTCAAACTCACAAATCCCACTACCTTATCCTAGGTGTATAAAACTACTAAGATGCAGGAGGCTTACTTAGCTGCTATTAGACAACCTCCATTAGTCAGCTATGCATCAAACAATTCTCCCAGAAAGATCATGGATCAAAGGAATAACAGCATGCCATTGTTATCAACTCCTAGCCAAGGTAATGTGGGGACTTCTAAGGGATTCAGTAGAAGAACATTAAGTATAGAGGAAATGAATGAAAAAATGGCAAAAGGGTTATGCTACTTCTGCAATGAGAAGTATGTACATGAGCATAAGTGTAAGAATGCCAAGCAAATATATGTGTTGGAACTAGAGGGAATGGAGCATGGACATGACGCAGAAGTGGAGGGTGAACTGATACTGCAAGAGGAAGAGTTCAATCAACTAGAACCAGATCAACCCATAGAGCAGATGGAGATTTTTATACATGCTCTAAATGGTTCTTTAGGCTACAGAACTCTGAAGGTGACTGGGTATCATGCTAAAAAGGCCTTGAACATACTGATTGATACTGGGAGTTCACATAATTCCATAGATCCTGATTTGGTTCATCATTTGGGATGTAAGATCAGATCAACTACTCCTCAAATGGTAGCTGCTACTAATGGAAATATGATGGTGGACAGAATGTGTACCATCACATGGTTGTTGCAAGGTGTTGAGTTTTCAGCAGAATTCCTATTACTACCACTAGGCTCTTGTGTGGTAGTATTAGGTGTGCAATGGTTGCTAACTCTGGGAGACATAAAGATGAATTTCAAGAAGCTAACCATGGAGTTTTGGTACAAAGGGAGAAATCGTCTTCTGAGAGGAGCTGGCAATCAAGTCAGGGTTCAAGAAGCTGTAAAGATAGCCAAACATACAGGTAACACTTCTCAGTTATGCATGATTCAAGTAGTGCCTATGGAGAATGTTGGAGAATAGTGGCATGCACTTAAGGCTAAGGAAGAACCTAAAACAAACATTAGATTAACTCATTTGGTATCTGAGTATTCTAAATTGTTTGAGGAACCTACTGAACTACCTCCTTCTAGAGGTGTATTTGACCATAGAATTGTGTTGCATAAGGGTACTGAACCTGTAAATGAAAGACCCTATAGGTATCCTTCTGTGAAAAAGGATATCATTGAGGGCTTAGTACAACAGATGCTTGATAAACGCATTATACAACCTAGCTATAGTCCCTTTGCATCACCAGTGGTCTTGGTAGGAAAAAAGGATGGCACATGGAGACTTTGTGTAGATTATAGGGATCTGAAGAAACATACTGTGAACAAGTTTCCCATTCCAATTGTGGAAGACTTGTTAGATGAGTTAGGGGGATCCAAAATCTTTTCTAAAATAGACCTAAGGTCGGGCTACCATCAACTTAGGATGGCAAAGGAGGATGTACCCAAAACTGCCTTCAGAACTCACTCAGGTCATTTTGAATACCTGGTTATGACTTTTGGCCTCTCAAATGCTCCTGCAACTTTTCAGGGATTAATGAACTCTGTCTTTCACAAGTTTCTTAGGAAACATGTGCTGGTTTTCTTTGATGATATACTAATCTACAGCAAAACTATAGAAGATCATTTGATTCACCTAGGGTCTGTCTTTGTGGAGATGATGAAACATCAGTTATTTGCTAAGAGAAGCAAATGCTTCTTTGGTGTCCACAAAATTGAATATCTAGGCCACTTTATTATAGCTGAAGGAGTCTCTACTGATCCTCACAAAATAGAAGCTGTGAGGAATTGGCCTACACCAACTACACTCAAGCAGTTAAGAGGATTTCTAGGCCTAACTGGATACTACAGGAGGTTTATCAAGAACTTTGGTGTGATTTGCAAACCATTAACTGAATTGACCAAGAAGAACAATTTCAAATGGTCATCAGTTGCTGATGCAGCTTTAGCTGAATCGAAAGAGGCCCTTACTCAGGCACCTGTCTTAGCTTTACCTGATGCCAGCAAGACATTCATTGTGGAGATTGATGCAAGTGGTTATGGTATAGGGGCAGCACTCATGCAAGAAGGGCATACAATAGCCTTTATTAGCAAAGCTCTCTCACCTATACATGCTGCTTTATCTGTCTATGATAGGGAGCTATTAGTTGTTGTTCATGCAGTTTCTAAATGGTCACAATACCTGCTGGGACAGAAGTTTATTATAAGGACTGACCAGAAAGCTCTGAAGTTCCTTATGGAGAAGAAATTGTACACTAACTTTGAACTGCTCTGCTTAACAAAGTTGATGCCTTTTGACTACTCTATAGAATACAAGAAGGGAGTGGAGAATAAAGTAGTTGATGCTCTTTCAAGGGTCACTGGTGCTGAGCTATTAGCACTAATGTTATCACCTCATGACACTGATTTGTTCCAAAACATAGAATCTAATTGGAATTCAGATTCTGAGCTTTAGCAACTTATTGCAGAACATCAACATAATCCTACTGCTTATAAACAATTCACTTGGACTCAAGGCCAACTAAGGAGGAAGGGCAAACTAGTGATTGGGAAAGTAACAAAACTAAGAAAGGCCAGCTTGGCATGCTAGTCCTCAAGGGGGTCACTCAGGGGTTGAAGCTACATTAAGTAGGTTGGTGAAATTGTTTTATTGGAAGACTATGAGGAAGGGCATAAAAGAATTTTTCCAAAAATGTGATATATGTCAAAGGAACAAATCAGACTTGGCTGCTTATCCAGGTCTGTCGCAACCACTCCCTATACCAGATGCAGTTTGGTCACAAATCAGCATGGATTTCATTGATGGGTTACCCAAGTCCAATGGATATGAAGTAATCTTAGTAGTGGTAGACAGGCTAAGCAAATATGCTCATTTCATTCCACTCAAACATCGTTACACTACTCAATCAGTTGCTAAGGTTTTCCTTGATACAATAGTTAAACTACATGGGATGCCTGATGCTATTACAAGTGATAGAGATGTTGTTTTCTTGAGTTCATTTTGGCAGGAGCTATTCACACTCCAAGGAGTACAGCTGCATACCTCCTCAGCCTATCATCCTCAATCTGATGGGTAGACTGAGGTCTTGAATAGAAGCCTTGAAACTTACTTGAGATGCTACTGTAGTGAAGATGCTAACAGCTGGTTCTCCTATTTACCAATGGTTGAATATTGGTATAACACTTGCTTTCATTCTGCTATTAAGACTACACCCTATGAGGCACTATATGGCAGACCACCTCCTCTGCATCTGCCATACATACCAGGAGAATCATCGTATACAACACATTGATCAATAGAGAGCTCAAGCTACAACTGCTTAAACACAATCTGAGAAGAGCCCAACTTAGGATGAAACAGCAGGCAGATTCTCATAGAAGTGACAGACAATTTGAAGTTGGAGACTGGGTTTGTTTGAAGGTCCAACCTTACAAACAAGTGACTATTTCAAGTCATTCGTCACACAAATTAGCTGTAAAATTTTATGGTCCATTTCAGATTATTAGAAGAATTGGTCCAGTGGCTTATACTCTATTACTACCTGCTGGGGTGAAGATTCATCCTACAGTCCATGTGTCATTGCTGAAAAAGTGCCATGAAGTGTCATCCCAGATATCTTATACTCCAGTTATTGATTTGGCAAGCCCTTACTGCCCTGATCCTGAGTTGATTTTGCAAAGGAGGATGATCAAAAGAGGTAATAAGGCTGTTGCACAGGTTCTAATCAAATGACAAGGATTGCCTGTTGATGTTGCTACTTGAGAAATTGTTACTGTTTTACGGACTAGATTTCCATTCTTTGGTCCTTGTGGGCAAGGATCTTATTGGAGGGGAGTAATGATACACGAATAATAGAAGATGGAATTCAAAAGGTAGTTAAGGCAGTTAGTTGAAAATTCAAAAAGTAGTTAGAGTTAGTTAAAGTTGTTACAAGAGTTAGTTGGAAGATGTTAGTTGGAAGAATCTGTTAGTTGAAGAAATCTATTAGCAGCTCAATCATTTCATAAAATTTAGTAGATATAAATACATTTGTAAGCAACAAAGTTACATATATGAAAATATATCCATTTCCTATTCTAGTCTGCCTCCTCCTTCTTCTTCTTCTTTTTCTTCTTCTTCTTCTTCTTCTTCTTTTTCCTTCTTCTTCTTTTCTGCACTCTTCGTAGTTGAATTCTCGAGCTTCTCCTGAATCAACATTGCGATCCTCGAGTTAGCTAAACTCCTGCAATTACATATCACTGTCTTTGTATTACCTTTTTTGACCCGCCCATATCCGATCCGACCAACTTGTTTGCCACCCCTACCTTCACCTGAGATGGCATTTTCCAGGTTTGAGTGCTTGATTGAGAATCAGAAGTTGTCATAATGTTGCTTCTACTCATTTGCATTGTTTAGACGAGTATAAGTTTTGTTCACTGACGATCTATTTTTTTCACACAATTAGGTCACCTATAAAGTTCTTGTTGGTGTGATCTTGTAAAAATGTTGTAGCCTACTTGCAACAACATGCTAAAACTACATAGATAAAAAGACAACCTAGTGCATTAAGCCCCTTATGCACGGGATCTACCAAAGGACAGGAGTGGACTACATTAAGAGGCTCTTTCCTACAGCTTGAACCAGTTACCTCCTGGCCACTAGTCGGCAACTCTCATACCGTTTGCACCAAGGCTCCCCGTTGTTAAACTGCAGTGATGATGTACAAAATTTTACACTCCCCGTATATATAACTTAAATATTTTTCTAGACAGAATCAAGACCACTGGTTTTTGATATTTAAGTGTACCTTATATAGGCTAAGGCAATCATGCCAAATAAGCACAATAGACTCTGCTTTTAAAGGAGCAAACAGAAAAGATCATTAAGGAAATAAAACATTAAAAACTATTTACATTGATGTTGAACTTACAGAAGAGGGGAACTTCTTATAGGATTTCCCCCTTGCAATGAATAGTCTTTAACTATGAAGTTTAACTTGATTTTAAAACAGGATAAATAACAGCATTTACATATACAGATAGTAATGGAAATGAAGGAATTATTATGGATCAACAGGCCCTGCCATTTCCTCATCATCCGAATCATATTCAGCTTCACTTAACTCCTCATCACTTGACTCCTCCTCTGTGGCAGCTCCAACATCTTCTGGTTTGGCATATTTTTGACAATATTCTGGCCAAGAAGTATGTATGTTTCAGATTAGTACTAATTTATATGCAGAACTCTCAAGGAAATGCGACAGGATTTAAGTTATATATACTAATAGAGCAATGGAATTTTTACACTATCAGTGCAATATAACCTGCCATTAGAAGGTTATTAGCCTTATTTTTCAGGTTATATTCCACTTATTACCTGTAATTACCTTTTAGATAACCTGATATAACATCAGCACGTACAAGTTAAAACTCAATGCAAAAAAGTGAGGAACGTTATCAATATCCTAATCACCAAGTTTGTAGGTGGGAGAGAAGAGATCCATAAGATAATATCTACAAATTCATGCATCATTAGAGAATGTGATGGCCTCATTTTTTAAACCATTTCATTTTAAAATGCAGGTAACAAAAATCTGTGTAGCCTAGTCGCTGAAAGGAGAAATGACCAGGAGGCAGTCGCAGCCTAATTCTAAACTACTCTGCTCTGTCAAGTTTTCATACAACAATCAGAAAAGGTTTAACTAAATCCTGGGACATGCTCAGCAACCCTATCACACTGATCTTAAAGATTCTGTTATAGATTATGTAGTAAAATGTATTTTCATATCCAGAACACGAACCTTCCGGAAAAGAGGTCACCACTTTTAGTAACAAAAGGTAAGAGTGCTTAGCAAATGCTTAAGAAGTTCTGATTCTCATGGCCTATACTTCCGAAAGCAGAGAAAAGTGTGAAAGAATGGCATTCTATTAGAAGTAGCTACATAGCTTCTAACTTGGATATCCTGACACATGGAATAATGTACTCGGCGGATAATTGGCTTCTCCCTCTACCATTCTCCATAAAACCAAGCCTTTGTTTGGAAGAAGGTTCGAACACGTGACGTGCATCTAACCTACATATCACGTGCTAAACTCTTACACTAGACCAAAGCCCGGCTGCAGATACTTAGCTTTTATTAGGACAGATCTTAGCTCAGAAGAACAAAATGTGTTTGCTCCTACATAAGCAAGAAAGTTCTGTTGATCAGTGAAGTGGGTTGAGAACCATGAGTTTTCACACTCAAATCCTAGCAGAGGCAAAACACTAAGTAATTTCTTATCTGTCCAAGCTTTGGTGGACCGAGTTGCTAATATCTGCACTGGTGGGAGGTAGCAGGTACCCCGAATTAGTCGAGATGTGCGCAAGCTGGCCCGGATACCACAATTCAAAAAAAAAAGGAAAAAGTTCTGTCACGTCTCCGAGAGTTTCTTCAGCTAACCTCTTCCCACCGAGTGTTCTGGCTAAGTAGGGTAGGTGCAGAGCAACACTTTTGAAGGGCATAGGAGAACACCATTGGGATAGCAGATTTAAACACAACCTGTTTGTCTTCGCAACTCCTTTGACTAACATTATTTCATCTCTACTTACTACTGGTATATTTCCCCAAGAAAAAAGTTGCTTTCTGTAAGGTGAGTATGTGGATGCTGCTGTTGAAGTTGCTGACTTGCTGGTCCCATATAAGTGAAGTAAAAAAGCTAATTTACTAACTGTATTTCCGCCAAAAACTAGATCCTGGTAATGGTAGCGTTGGAAGGTTTAATGATTAAAGAGGATGCCACAGTTGGATGACCTGCTTATATGTTGCCTTCTCCGGAAAGAAAGTGAAGGCAGGTCTGACTTAAGCCGGCAACAGCTGGAGGTTCCCTTCTTTTTTTTTCCCTGTTCTTTTTGTGTTTGAGCTTTCTCCAGTTATATACACCACAGGCACCAGAATAGCAGCAATCCAAAGCAGATTAGGGATTGTTAGACTCCGCTAGCTAGTTGGAACGCTAGAAACAGGTTAACTATGAGTTCTCTTCATTCTCAAGTGGACGTATACTAGAAAGTTTTCCACATTATATGTCGGCAAATCTGCCGCACGCTGGATGAGGACCCCTGATCAGGTTGAACGGTACTTCTAGATCCAGTGGACATCTTCCTTGAGATAAACTAAGAAACTATACAAAGCACAAGACCAAGAAAATGAGAAGGCTGATGTACAACAGTGTCCCAATTGAAGGTTAACCTTGCTTTAGGCGTAAGTGCCAAGTAGGAAGAATGATTGATCGTTTAGGCGACATGTTATCTGCTCCATAGTTCTTTGGCTAAGGATCTCATTTGGATTCTGGTTCTTGCACTTCATTCCTTTTTATTCCAACCACTTCACTTCCTTTCTAATACAACATCTTGTGTTAAATTGGTTTTAAGAACAATTAAGCTAGACCTCAATTTGAGCACAATCACTTTTTTATTATCAAAAACCTAAGTTCCAATATTTCAAATGTGCCTATGAAAATGTAGTTTCAAGTACTTTGGATCTATTATACAAGGTAACGGGGAGATTGATGGGATGTCACGCACCGTATCGGAGCAGGATGGATGAAGTGGAGGCTCGCTTATGGTGTCTTGTGTGATAAGAATGTGCCGCTGAGACTTAAAGAAAAGTTCTACAAGGTTGTAGTTAGACCGACTATGCTGTATGGAGCAGAGTTTTGGCCTGTTAAGAATCCTCATGTCCAGAAGCTAAAAGTACCGAGATGAGGATATTAAGGTGGATGTGTGGGCATACTAGGTTGGATAAGATTAGGAATGAAGTTATTCGGGATAAGGTGGGAGTAGCCCCTGTGGAGGATAAGATGCAGGAAGCAAGTTTGAGATGGTTCGGGCATGTTAAGAGGAGAAGTACAGAAGTCCCAGTCAGAAGGTGGGAGAGGTTAGCCTTAGTGGGTATCAGGAGGGGTAGAAGTAGGCCTAAGAAGTCTTGGGGAGAGGTTATTAGGCGGGACATGGCGTAGTTGGAGCTAACTGAGGACATGGTCCTAGATAAAAGGGTGTGGAGATCGAAGATTAGGGTAGAAGGCTAGTAGGTAGTCGAGCGTTTCTCTTTGTTTTGCTCAGTTCGCTAGCATTAGTGTTAGTATGATATCCTTTTACTCATATATTGCTTTTACTACCTAGAGTTTAGCTACTTGGCAAGTGCGACCGTTAGGTCTTGGGTTCGAGCCACGCTGGAGGGGAAGTGTGGAAACACTATAAATTCTCCTAAATTGGGATGGAATAAAGCCTCTCTACCTCTCTAGGTAGGGGTAAGATCTGCGTACACACTACCCTCCCTAGACCTTACCTGTGGGATTATACTGGGTTGTTGTTGTTGTAGTTGTTGTAGTTTAGCTGCTTTCTTAGCTTCGGTTTGTTTTATCTTGTTGATATTCCTACTTGTTGCCACCACTTTTTTATCTTCTTTCATCCGTTCTCCCGCCGAGGGTCTATCGGAAACAACCTCTTCGGCCTTCCAGGATAGGGGTAAGGTTGCGTACATCTTACCCTCCCCAACCCCCACTTGTGGGAAATTGCTGGGCTTGTTGTTGTTGCTGCCTATGAAAAGGAATTGAAAGCCAGTAACTTCAATATGTTTAATTCAACCTCACAGGCTCACATGGACATGGTCTAACCATGAAATATTCAACGGAAGATAACTTCAGAGCACACTGCCAATAATAGAATGCTAACCATATCTTAATATCTGCAAATATCAAGCAAATAAAGGAGAACCAATTCCCTAGAAACCAAAACAAAACTGTTAGATTGTAATTCTACCAGTCTAGCCTACTCCCAACATGCCTAACAAAGAGATTATGCACAGAGCATACAAAGTACCAAAAGATTCAAGAAACCTTGAAGTCGGTTCTTTTAATCTACTTGAAGTTGCGACAGATATTTTTAACATATAAACACCTGATACGGCTGAATTTACCTTTAACTCTTTGTTCATATGCAGCTCGGTCTCGCATCATCAAGGCAGCTGCTTCCCCATTCAATGGGTCCGACGGGTTAGGATACAAGAGAAGTTGTGGAAGAAACACTTCAAACACGTTTGTCAAATCTGTGGATATTGTATCAAAACCAGATATTATAATTAGTGAAGACGAAATCGGTGGCAAAGCCAAAGAAATTTCAAGAATCTAATCATATGCTTAAATCATATTACCAAACATGGGACTCCAAGTCTGATTGATAACATCTAAACAAACTGAGCCTGACCTGAAAGATGATAATCCCAGAAATTTCAGACTTCGATTAAACAAAACGAGAATAATGAAATTATCTACACAAAATTATAGAAATCAAACATTTTACAACTCACATCTCATCAACATTTGGATGGTAGATTTTATTAACAAAGCCAATTGATGGAGATCTATAAGGGTAGGCATCGGGAAGTTCAACTTTCATTTTCCAAACTCCACCATGATAAGGACCTGCAAGAGCCAGAATAAGCTTCCAAATACTCTTTTTTTAACTTCAACTTCAAATACACATTTCTCAAGTTCAACCAAATATTGTCCAAACAAGAAAAACAGAATCTGAATAAAACAAACACCCCCCCCCCCCCCCCCCCCCCCCC